CGTTTTAATGTTTTGGATGAATCATTGGTTTAATGACAAACTATATAAGAACATAACAAATTGAAAATGTGTAATATTCGGTAATAAAACTGAAATGGTTTTCCGTTGCTTCATCGTAACTAAATCTGTGTTGAAACAAGCTTAACCTCTTTGATCGGCAAAATTACGTCGGAGGGTGTCTTTTAACTTATCCCATGTGTCAACATTTTGAATATTTACAATAAGTTTGGTTCCGCCAGTAATATCCGCCAGTGATATAGTAAAAATGTTGGATTAACGATTGACATGTTTCTAAACAACGATTCAAATCATTTGGGCTACCGTAAAAATTTGGTACTCAATTTAAATATTCTGGCTTAAAATGAGCCATTTCATTGTTTTGAGAAAAGTTATCAATTGAATGGTCGGCATGATCTGTAAATAATGTTTCTGGATTTGAAACAGAGTCCGCTCAAGGTCTACTTTAACGCAATTTGCCTAATTCGCAAATTATATCATCGACACTTGTCATTAAATTATCAATTGCAGTTCAACTTTGGGCATGGATATTTATAAATGACTAGCTGATTGTAATTCGCAGATTCGAAGATTTTCGATGTTCGGAAAAACTCCACACTGCTCCAAACAGATCCCAAAAATCCGTTCCGACTGCACCAATTAACTAACTAGACAGCTGTTGTCGATTTTTAAAAAACAACGTTATTTTCGAATTACAAGTTTACAAGATTACAACATAAATATTTTCAGACTGACTGCTGCACATCTTTCCCATCGTTATGATGCGAGTCTTGCACACTCAGCAGGTTCTCAAGGTGTATGGTAACATAACTTATACAAAAGGTACTCTCAGTATTTGTATAAAAATGGGTTTAAACTTTTAGTTCGAATTTTTCAAGTTGGATAATTTCGGCGTTTTAAATAATAAGCGAAGGAATTATTACATAATTGGGACTAAACATAATAACAATAATTTCCGAAAATAGCCTACATCAACGCATGCATTAATTGGCCTTAACATTAATCGACGAAATATTTCGAATACACCTGGCGTCTGATTAATAATGGTACACGATTCAAATATTTTATTTATTATATCATGTTCATTTTCGACCGGAGCTTTGTAAAAACGAGTGACTTCAAGTGACTCAACAGAAAATAATCTGGTACTCTGCGGAGCTCAGCCCTGCATCAACCATAATCTGTCTCTGGTTTCTAAATCAATTTCTTCTTAATGTCTAGGAAACTCGTGCTACAAGAACCTTCGATATAACCCAGCATTTTCATCCAAAACGGCTGCTTTAAGTACCAAATATTAAGAAATAGGAAATATTAGGAAATAGGTTTGCCTAATCAGAAATCAAAAAAAAGTTTTGGTTAATTAGATTGAATATCTTCTAATTGCCATGTTACTAAACAAAAAGACAAGTAAAAAACTTAACCGCAGCGGATTCAAGTTCGTGTCAACCTTTCATCTTAAAATTAGATAAAAATTCACCGTTTAAAGTTTGTACAAGTACTTAATTATCACCCTGACTAAAGACATTCTTTTACAACAGCGATCGCTGAAAAATGGTTCTTATTCGACAAATAATACTATTTCAATTTGCTTTTTTGTTATGAATTTACAATTATTAGAACTACAATTATTTCCTTTTATCAAGTGCTGAGAATAACCGCCTTCTATTTCTCCTATCAATCTCATATTGATTGAGTGACGAATTTTTTTGAAAATTCCTATCCTCTTCTTTACGCCTTCTGCATTCTGGACCGAAGTTTGGTACACCAGGCTCTCCCATCCCTCTTCAACGATTTGGATAATTATTGTTCAAACACGACTCGACTAAAGTGGAATTATCTATGATAGTTCGGGTAGTACGTTTTTTAGAAAAATTTGGGTTAGTCACCCAATGAAGGAATCACCAATAATTCGGACCCAAATATTGGCAACAAGTGTTCTTGGAACTGATTTTCTAATAAAGTGTGTGGATCAGGACTATTCTTAACAATTACCTATGTAATTGTTAAGAAAATAACTTATTGAAATTAGAATAAACGAACTTTATTCGTAAATAAGATCCAGGATAAAAGTTGTGGGATTGCTACTTTTCATTAATTAACCGGTGGCAAAATATCATTCTTAGAGGAATAAAGCTTGTACCCTTTGAATCTGGTAAGGATAAAGTAAATGATTTCTTAAAAAAAAACAACAGACGTAAGCTGTGTTTAGAAGAGGAAGCTACTCCAATTTATTCCCTAACCTGCTTCGCCGTGGCAACCGAGTAAGAATACTCGCTAGAGAAACTATCCAAACTCCCCATGAACGAGGTACTGTGCTTCCTCGAGGTTACAAGAATCTTTCAGAAGAGGAGGCGAAGATGTGCTGGTATAATAGATTGGGAGATCTAACCATGGAGATAGGATAGATAGGAAGAACTAAATCAACGGACATAAGTAACTTTTAAATAAAACTGAAATAAAATAACTCAAAACGTAGATACTAGTTTTATGGAAAAAGAAGTTTTAACTGAGTTTGCAGACGTTTACAAAAGTCACCTTTGTCGTAAATAAATTCAAATGAGTAGGTTAACAAAAATTTTGGGGATTGGGATTCTTTTTTAGTAACCAATTTTAATAATAGAAGTAGAGAAATAACAAGGGGTCTTAACTCGGCCGAATAGCTGTTCTTAAAGACAAAGAAACTCTGACCACATTTTTCAATGCCATATAGGATGCAAAAAAAACTAATAAGAGTGGACTAGACAATGCAGAGTCTCATGAGTCACACACTGAAAATCTTGATTCGAAGCGAAAGTAATATGAGTGACAAACAATTTGGATTTACAAGTGACTTGGGGACTAGGGATTCTTTATTCTCTATGCATGTCCTACTTGAAAAAAGATGTGGGTTTCGAAAGAACTAGACAACTAGGACATCAGATTACTAAAATTCCTATACTAGTCACTGTGCAAATTGAAAACCACAAACTCAAAAACTGCCCATTTAACAAGGAGAACGACGAGGCTGTGTCCTTTCACCAATTCGTTTCAACATATACCTAGAAGAAATATTCAGGAACGCCTTAAATGACAGATAAAGAGGTGTAAGAATTGGAGAAGAAACAATCAATAACATCAGATACGCTGCAGATACAGCCATTTTTGCAGAGAACCTAGAAGACGTCCAAAGAACCCCAAATCTAGTCTATGAAGCAAGTGGTCGTACATCATAGGCAAACTGGAATCTATGGAGAGAAAATAGAGCGTGTAAACTAATTGAAATGCCTGGGTAATTGGTTGGTTAAATGTTAGTAGGGACTCCGATGAAGAGATAGCAACACAAATCGAAATAGCTCGCAACAATATGGAAAGCAGTTTCAATAACAGGAATCACTCTTCTGCGGAAAAGGGTCCTGAGTTGCTATGCGTGGTCTGTCCTGCTTTATGATTGCGACATATGGACACTAATAGAAGCATTTGAGCTGTGGTGCTATCGCGAGATTCTGAAAATATGGTGGTCTCGCACACTTCAAATAAAGACGTCGTCAGAATGATGGACACGGCCCAGCACTTGCTGAATGCTATAAAGAGGAGAAGGTCAATACTTTGGAAATGTAATTAGGGGACCCAAATATCAGCTACTACTCCTCATAATAGTGGGAAACGTGGACCCCAAAATCAGAGAGTGCTGTAACCTTACTATTGCGTGTGGCTGATGATAGAAAAAGTTTCTAAGAGACCATAATCATGACGATAACCAACATTTAAAGCTAGACAAGTAAACAAAAGAAGAGGAAGAAGGTCATGATTGTTAGCAATAACCCAAAGAAGTTGAAGTCATCAGTTGCTTTGAGTCGTGGCAGTGCTGCCTGCAACATTCATCTCGTCGGACCTCAGCCTCAAGTAGTAGTGGACAAATTTTAATACCTAACCAAATGTTTTCTCCTGTCGAGTGCTATGGGCTTGTCTAAAGCTACCTAAAACCTATCGAGTTAAATTTAACATAACAAAACATGCAATTTTAAAATTAAAACTTTTGGTGCGGTTTATCAATTTATAATTAATTAAAGTGTTAATTTTTTGTATGATCGTAGTTAATCGTTATTAATAGTTATTAACATCCTTATACGGATAACCAATTGATGTGATAACGAAATGAGGTTTCTTTCGCTCCTTTTTCAAAATCGTAAAATATTCTTGAAACAGAAGTAAAATGAAGAATTGCTTAACTGTTTACCGAACCGCAGAAACCAAATATAATTTTGTCTGACGAAAATGTTCACGTGCTTTTTAATACTTTAGAGGAAACCCAGACAATATTTACTATTTATGGGAGTAAGTCTATCTAATGCACCACATTCATCTAATTAACTATGCTAAACTGTTGCCCCTGTATCTAAAAATAAACTCATTGTCTCATTGTATAGTGGAGGTAGACATTTGTACGTTAATAAATTATTGTAATTAGTGGCGATTTTGTCCAGTTGATTGTATTGGAAATAGTACATCGTTAATTTACAGGAGTGGGCCAAATTTAGGCTTTCATGATTGGAAAAGGAACAATAAAAATTGCGAGATCTTGCGGCAAATATACATTTCAAGCACTTTCTTAAACGAATTTAAACAAAGTAACCAAATACTCAGTCGAGTAAAATCGAATCTGAAGACGACTGGAAATATTTGAATAGTTGAAATATTATAAAAGTAATAAAAACAAGTCGATAAACTTCTTCAAATACCAGTTTATTCTACACTTGTTTCGCTGGTGCTCAAACAAACTGGTGACTAAATCATTGTTTATTAAAGCTTCTACTATCATATTACCATATTACCCTACTACATACATATAATTTCGTCATAAATGCGGTAAAATATGTTATTCATATAAAGCAATAACCAGATGAAATTACCTATTTGAATGGCTGGCATAAATTTTTGCTTCTACTTTCATTTCTCTGAGTTTAATTAAGTTAGTTAAGTTAACTGGAATGATGCCTTTTCAGGAAAGATTACGATAGTTACTGAATGTGCTTGGTACGAGCCTAACGATCCCACGAGCACCCAAGACCTGGAAACTAGAGAAAGAGCTATACAATTCCGTGTAAGTATCTGTAGCGTTATTAAAGTTTTTAAAGGTTATGCTATTTTTTTTAATGAGAGAGATTTAATTTTCTAAAGGTTATAGGGTAAAGTTCAAATAATGATATAATGATATGAATATAATATAAATATAATAATGATATTAATATAATAATAATTATACATGATTATAATTATAAAGGTGAGCAGTTAATTTGACATATTAATTACTCTAAGATCAAGTAAAAGAAAAGGTATACAGATGTAAGAAGTAAATTTTAGTAATCATGTTCCGAGTTGTGAAATGAACTATAGTCGTCGAAGTCCAGAGAAATAATAAGGGATTCTACAGTGTTATCTAGCTTTTCAGGTTCTTTCTTCTATTTCAATCACATGTTGGATGCACTTACTCCATATTTCACAATTCACTCTGACAATTCCCCTTGTGAGACAAATTCAACATCCCCCATTTTAAAAAAGCTGTTATGTCTTGCAACAAGAAGACATGACTATTTTTTTCGGATTCTCTTGAGTGATAGCGAATATAACAGACCCTGAAAGAATACAGCATTTGTGGAAGTAGTCTTCAAAAACATCAGCATTCACGCCTTCATGATAGTGTCCCGTAAATTTTGGTTGAAATACAAATAAGACACCACCTCCAAATCCATTTTTGCTACAAATGTGAGGAATTATTCTTTTACCTTCTTAAGAGAGTTCTTTTATTCCAGTGGACCATCCTTCTTTGAAAGGCTTGCCTGACGCTTTTAAAATTTTTATTCTGCCATGTTCTACTAACTATATCTTTCATTTACCCAAGATAATAGATATTTCTGTTTTTCCTTCGAAACTGTCTAACTGATCTCAAATATTGTCGTCGCCAGCAGATACTTACGTCTTCCTCTATTAAAGGGATCTTCTGTTTTCCTTTCCTTCAAAATTTTCAAAAATTTGTTTTTACCCATAGGTGGAATGAAACCATCATTCTTTATTATTTTGTTCAAGGTATGAATTTCTTTTTTTAAGTTAAACGAGTGTATTACTCTTCTTTTCATTTTCACTTATTACAGATTCTTTTCTTCCTGGAATTCTCTTTGGTATATTGTCAGTCATATTTGAACGCAATGAATATTGAGTTTTACTGGAGTACTAAGAATAATAATTTTCTCATTTTTAGAAAGAATAGTCTTACTAATCCGATTATCATTAACAAATTCAGAAATGATACCTTTTCTACAACGAACTTTGCCAAGGTATGTCAACTACCTGCCCGTCTACCTGCCACTGTCGATACGCTTGGCAACTCTCTCGCATTAAGAAAGAGAGCATATATATCACCGTTTTCTTCAATAATCTATTCCTATTTTATTTGCTAGCTTGGATGGTTTGCCAATGCCGTGTACCTGGGCAACTGGCCTCAGGTTATGATAGATAGAATCGGCAACAGAAGTCAAGCAGAAGGTTTGTCCAAGTCTCGCTTGCCACAATTTACGCAAGAAGAAATCGACTATATCAACGGAACCCACGACTACTTCGCACTCAATACGTAAGTTCCCAAAAACCAACTGATACAAATTTTAGTTAAGCTATTTTTCAGTTACGGTACCGTAAACGTTACATACACACCGGAAGCGCCTCCCGGCGAAGCAAGCTACTGGACCGATCTGGAAGTCACCAATAGTGATACTTACGATGATCCCCAGGGCATCAGAAAATTGCTTAACTGGATCAATAACCGCTATAATCCAGGGGAAATCATTATTTCGGAAAACGGGAAAGTAAACGATGGAGGTTTGGATGATGACGATAGGATTGAGTATATATCGGTATGAGAAATTGGCCCGTCAGGGCGGTCGGTGGTTGCAAATTTAGCCATCATCACTCTTATTTCTAAGAGCAGTTTTCTGAATTAGTGTTAAGTCGGGTATTGACTTTGCTGCTGACTTCTTAAGAGCGCTGTCTAAAGGGCCGATTGTTCGGCATTCATCCTAAATACCTGCCGATGGCGTTATCCCGGTCTATATTAAATGAGTGTTTGATGATTTGGATACACTCGTATTTTTTTAGAAATAAGTGCTAGGTGCAAATGTTTTGCTCTTGTCGAATAAAATCTGGTATCCTGCCTCATAATGATAATGATGTTCTAGAACTGTTGGTGTCGTTATTTATCGAAAACTGACCGATCTTTGGTGGTCTTTAAGTCTGGTTGATATAAACACCAATTGTCGATGTTGGAAGATTTTAGGACAAATAGAAAATTCCGTTCAGATGTTTTTTTTAGAATATTTTGAACTTTCGGAAGTACTACAATGGCAAACTGAGGATCAATTACTGAATTACTTTGGGTAACTGTGGAAATTGTTTGTTGTATATATGTTGTTCCTCCTACATGATCCCTGGTTAAGGGATTCCGGTTGCAACAGCGATATTTCTCTGAAAACTAAGGAGTTTCTCACCTTAGTTGTTCCCTCAAATAATTGCTGTTACCAAGACATCACACAAAAATACGTTTTACCATAACCACTTACAAGACTGGCAAATGGAGTGACCGTTTGCCAGTCTTCCGTATATTTAAAATGTCGCCGATCAGATATCAAAATTCAATTTCTAAGTTGCAACCAAGATTCATTTGCAACACTTACAAATTTCAAATATCAGTTTTCATCCACATATGACTGCCTATCTCATCACTCGAATATCTTGGTATTGGTATTATTATTATTAATATCTTAGACAGTATGTCAACGAGAATCCGTAATTGCCTTAAATTTTCCACTCCGCGTAATCGGTCATCCTTAGTTCATATAAATTTTGGTTACAATGTAATTAAAAATTATAATAATATCGAATATTGCCTTAAAAACTGAAAACTGGACAAGTTCAAACAATTTACATTTCCACTGCGTGATATTTAAAAATCTACATTATGAAAATTTGTTTTTTCCAATTTGTATCTGAAATTTTCATTGCTTTATTATTTTCTGTTTTCTCCTCGTTTCGTTCTTGGATTGCTGGTATATTTTATTTTTTTTACTTACGTAGTTGTTGTAACTGGTTAAAACTAAGTACTTGTTCTAAAATCTCCCGGCATCTAAAATCAGTAAAATTTCTCTCAAGTCAACAGGTGTTTACAGTATTCATGAAGATATGGCACAAAATACATCCGAGGAAAATATCGGCCAGACTAAAAAAACACTATAGTTCAGTCAAGCTTCTGGACATTTGCTAGTCTTCCGTATAATTAAAATGTCGTCGATCAAATATCAAAATTCAAATTCTAAGATGCAAACTAGATTCATTTGCAACATTTACAAATTTCAATTGCCAGTTTTCATCCACAAATGACTGCCTGTCTCATCAATCGAATGTCTTGGTATTGGTATTATTATTAATAATATCTTAGACGGTATGTCAAAGAGAATCAGTAATGGAATTAATTTTTCCACTCCGCGTTATCGGTCATTCTTAGTTCATATAAATTTTGGTTACCATGCAATTAAAAATTATAATAATATCGAATATTGCCTTAAAAACTGAAAACTGGACAAGTTCAAACAATTTACATTTCCACTGCGTGATATTTAAAAATCTACATTATAAAAATTTGTTTTTTCCAATTTGTATCTGAAATTTTCATTGCTTTTTTATTTTCTGTTTTCTCCTCGTTTCGTTCTTGGATTGATTGATTGTATATTTTATTTTTTTTTACTTACGTAGTTGTTGTAACTGGTTAAAACTAAGTACTTGTTCTAAAATCTCCCGGTATCTAAAATCGGTAAAATTTCTCTCAAGTCAACAGGTGTTTACAGTATTCATGAAGATATGGCACAAAATACATTCGAGGAAAATATCGGCCAGACTAAAAAAACACTATAGTTCAGTCAAGACATTACGACTGTACAGGATACCATATTTTATTGGATAGTACCAAAATTCTTCAATCCAAGAAAAAGACTAATTCATCAAACATACTAATAACATTAACCGCAATACGCCATTGGGATTAGGACATCCATGAACCTCCACCTTTAAGATGCATCGACCTTGAACTTCAGACAGAAAAAACAAAAGAAGTAGTGTGTTTGATGAAACGCCAGCTAGGCAGAATCAATACCCTTAGCAGGAAAATTGGAAAAGTGTATCTACAAATTCCGAGGCCGGAGGAAGCTTTTTTTTTGAAAACCACAGTTATTGTTGTTTTTTCTAGGGTTATTTGAGCAGTATTCTAGATGCAATATACGAGGATAATCTTAATGTAATCGGTTATGGAGTATGGAGCATCATGGATAATTTTGAATGGGGTTCTTACGAGTAAGTGTTTCAGTATTCCGTGGAACTGTTCAAGATAAGAAACAGTCTGATGTCACTAATTCGACCTTCAATTCCATGCACCAGTTTTAGTAGTAAAGTCAATGGTTTATTTCAAATGGCAATGCTCTATGAGAAGCTAATTTTGTAAAGATAGGGTTGTTATTTCACTGGTTACTTTTATTTCTCTATCGTTGTATTGCAGATTAGCAAATTTTATTTGTTGCGGCCCTTTAGGCCAAGAAAAGTCAAGTCAAAAGCGGCAATATCTTATAGAAATCAATTTTTGATGAACTGCTTTTAAGCAACAGTACAAATGGAAGAGTACCCCCTATTATAAAATGTTCCAGCGTTGCCAGATATCATAAAACTGCAGGTTGATTATAAAAAATTATAGCTTTTAGGCCTGGATAGATTTCACAAAACTTAAAAAAAATGAAATTAATAATTTTATATTAAATCATCTACCCTTTTTAAATAATGCATGTGGAATATAATATATAATTTTTCCCATTTAATTGGTTAACTGCATCCAGAATTTGTTGTTGTTATGCAAAAACTTCTTATTTTTTAAAACTATTTGTTTTAAATTCCCCACAAAAAGCAGTACAGTGGACTTAAATCGTTAGGGCTTCTTGCTGGCCACAAGATGGTGCCATTTTGCCCATTCCGTTGTCTAAAATTTCTATTTCAAAATTCACTAATATCAGCACTTCGATATTCCGAATGAGAGGTTGATGTAACTGATGTAAATATCGATTCATGATTAAATTAGAATTAATTAAATCATTTTTATTCATTTATTTATTTTCTAAAATAAATATTAGAAACGCTTTCAGAATTAAGCCAAAAAGATAAGAGGTTTAATTAACTGCATTAATAGTTAATAAATTCGGAACGGTGGGAACGGTGCATCGTAGGTCAGTATTCACATGTATCATTGGACTCGCCTTTTAAAGGCTATGCAAAAATAGGCCGGGTGTTTGAATTACAAAAATTGAGAGAAATAACATTTTGTGAAAAACAGCATATTTGACAAAAATATTTCAATTTTGAATATTGTCTGAGAAAAAGTGTTTTAAAGGTTAATATGAAACGTAACAAAACATTTCTAACTAACCTGAATCCCGATGATATTCGATAATAACGGTGTATATCTTATTTTGTAGTGTATATATATATATATATATATATATATATATATATATATATATATATATATATATATATATATATATATATATATATATATATATATATATATATATATATATATATATATATATATATATATATATATATACATATTCTTCGTCTTTAAAAAATGTAAAATATGGGGTGTTCTATTAAAAAATAGTGTATTATGCAACAGAGTTTATTTGATACGAGTGGATCGAGTGTTAAATAACGAGTGACTTAAAAAGTCTACCGAACGTGTTGCATACTGACGTGGTAGAGTGACTTGTCCCGCACGGTGTGTAATTAGGTATTTTACAAACGGGAGTAGAAAAATTATTTTATGATCATAATCGAGTGACAATTAAAATAATACAAAAAAATAAAGACAATTTTAGTGAAAAAGGTTATTGTATGCAAAGGTTTTTATAACACTCATAGATTTCGAGATAAGGAATAGGCCCCTCTTAAACCATTGTGGATATAGCGGGTTAATGAATATAACATTCTTATTAATCCTGGAAATAAAATAACAAATAACCAAAACTCCTTATTCTATCAAAACTAAATCAACACACAATACAGTTCTTTTTTTAATTTTTAGTAAGAGGTTTGGATTAATCGAAGTAGACTTTGACAGTCCAAACAAAACAAGAACATGGAAAAAATCAGCCTACTGGTATCAAGATGTGATCAACCGCAGATGTCTTGCCACTACGTGCCAGGAAAACATTTTATAAACCCAAAAGATTATTAAAGGATGATTTAATATAGTGCTGCAGTTTTCTTCCCTTCGCTGTTCGAAAAAGTTAGGAACGCTAATATTGTTTGTTCTATGCGGCTGCTAAAGCATGTGAAGGTGTAAAACTTCTTTTGCTACAATGGGTATACAGTGTGTCCAAGATAAGAATATTTATAATGGGGATATTGGAAACCATAGCAGATTTGAAGATGTTTAAATTATTTAAATACATATATACGCCCAGCTTCAACTGTGTTTCTCATGAAATTTTCTTGGACAAATTTGAATTTTATGGAGTACCTGGCGAAATTGTGCAATTTGTTGACGACATAGTGTTTATTATTAATTCTTGTAGGAACATCACTGCGCGGAGTAAAAGTGAAAAAGACACTTTAACTAAAGCTATATATGTATATAATATTTTGTCATGTGATGTTATATACAATTTATCTGTGAACATTTTTTTTCATTTACTTACTGTTTTTTTTCTGTATGACTTGTTCCAAACAATGATTTTCTAAACTATCTACATATCTATTAAATTTTGGTATACATACATGCAATTGATGGCACAGGTTTTTGTATAACAATTTTATGCTCTGCTAGATTAGAGATGGTACCAAAAAATTAACCGGTAGGTGAGTCAATGCCTCAGTCTGCAACAACGAAGTTTTCAATGGTCCCCTATTGAAAATATCATTTTTTGCAGAATAAACACCCGCAACGTTTTGAAGAACTTAAAAGCTCGGACGTAACAATGCAGCATACGAAAAACATTTCCTGAAAAAGCTAAGCAAGGATAGTAATAACAGTAACAGCGTGCAGTCCGCATGTTTGTTTTATGTCCCAGTTGGGGAATTATGACACCATTTTATTCTCTCATAATGTGTGATATACTAATTTAATTTTGCGCGAAAACATGTCGGTATACGTGGCACTAAATCACAGGAAGTTGTTTATTATTACAATGTCATTTTTTCACAATATGCTAAACTTATTTCCGGGAAAACTTTTTTTAACAACAACCTCATTAGTAGATTCACATTAATGAGCAACCAGTTTCCATTCCATTTAAAACGCATATTTTGAATCTTTGTATCTTAAAAAATTTGGAACATTTTAAAATTTGAAAAAAAAACTTCGTTTAGTAATACTCCATATTTACAGTTACTTTAAGAGTATGTTATTGGGGGCATCCATAAATATTTCAAATTAACCCCACTCAAACTTTATAAGTTGTTTGTTACTTAAAGTTTTTAGCTTCAAAGTTGAAGTTTATAGTTTAAATACTTTAAAATTATACATGCGACGAACTTTATGGCTCGACCTCCTTTTTGCTACACATTGTCCTATTTCATTGCCCTCTCCTTTTCAATTAATGTGGCCTTTTCGCTTTCGGGATATTTTAATGCCGAATAACATTGGAATGGTAGGAACTACGAACTTCAAATTATCGTCCATACTAAAGAAAGTCACTATGAAGCAAATTATTTGTCAGAAATTGTTGAACTGTTGAAACTGGGTGGAATCGGAAGCTGCGAAACATTTTCTTTTAAATTTTGAAAATCTTTTTTCGATACTTAAAAAAATATTTTGTCGAAAACGATACGTCCCATCGAAAAAATTCTTGAACCAGATATGTTAGTCCATTAGGAATTTTAGGCAACCTTCTGCCGAGTTGACAAAACCCCAACCCAACCCAATCATCAAAAATTAATTGCTAGAAGTAATTATAACAAAGATAAACAAAAACAGATAGTCTGTGTCAAAAATCATCTTAGGCTATAGCGGTGACTCCAGACTCCAGAAAGTTCAGAATGCTTACTTCAGATTTCTTAGAGATTTCTATGATGTCATACGAAACCGACAATATTTTTGTTAAAAGAAATTCCTTACGGTTGCTATTTCATTCGTGAAAATTTACTGCAACATGGTCTGGACTTTAGGGCTAAAATAATGACCATTAATAACTAACCCGCTTTAACCCATTCATTTTGCTCTAGCGACGTTACATTCCAGGAATTATATTTAATTTTATTCCTAAAGTAAAACACACCTGATGTCTATTTTGCGGGCGAAATCCTTTTATCGGACGTAAAACCAGTTGAAACCGGATCAGAGGGATCAGTGCGGCTTTGTATAAAATTAGTTACTCATTTAGGGAGGCATATATAAAAGGACCATTGCACAAAAATATCTGCGTTCCTGAATTCTCTCTCTCTCTCTCTCTCTTTTCATCCTCGGCTGCATATAAAGAAGTGTTGAAATTTTAAAGTTTGTGATGTTTTCAAACGCGTGTTATATAAAAAATTGATGAAATGTCTCTAGAGATATTGTTCGATCTTATATTAGTAGAGAAGTATTTTTCGGGTAAATTGTGCGTATCAATTAGTTTTTTTTTATTATTATAAATTTGCCTAACCTCTAGCCTGATTCAGCCAGGCTATTTTTTACTACACTGTGGGACTTTCCTTTTCTTGAAAAGACAATCGACAAAAAGGAACGAGAACGGCACCTAGTCACTTGCAATTAAAGAAGCAAGGTAGGATTTACTTTCCGCATCGATACAAAATTTGGTACATACGAGTCGGATATTGGTTTTCGGAAATTAATTGTGCAATCGGTGATTGCAAGACTTTCCCCGCATTTTTTTTTTGAGAGTGCAAAAAAAAATACTACGGTTTGCCCTAATATCTTTCTCCTTGGTCTCGATAATTTTCCGAAGCACTCTGTACGCCTCCTTCCACGTATTTTCTTCACCCATCAGGCTTGCCATCATGTTGCGCGGGATGAAGTTGGTACCTGTTGCAGATGAATACATGTTTCTTTGTTCCTTCCACCTGTGGCAGTGAAACAGTGTGTGCTCCACATCGTCCAATAGGCCGCAGTACTGACAGTCGCTGGTCTGGGCGCGCCCTCGGTCGGACAAATATTTTCCAAAGCAACCATGCCCCAATAGAGCCTGCGTGAGAAAGTAGTCCACTTCCCCATGGGGGGCGATTAATCCACTGCTGTATGTCCGGGATTAACTGGTGTGTCCATCGGCCATAGGTCCCCTGTCCCATTTCTTTTACCAACTGGTTTGGAGGATGTTTCGTGCTTCGTTTTTTGTTGCTCCTAAGTATCTTTGCCGCCGTTCCTGTATAAGTAGCGCTATCGGCGGGATTCCCGCTATTACGCCAATTCCTTCCGTGGACACCGTTCTGTACGCGCTGCACACTTTCAGTGATAGCTTTCTTTGTAGTGTTGATAACACAGCTATTTGTCTTTTATTCTCGGTAATCTTGCTCTAGACTGGGGCCCCATACAATATCTGAGAGTGTATCACGCTCGTTAGAAGTCTCCGTTTGGATGCTCTTGGTCCACCTATGTTTGGTATTAGACACAGCAGCGCTGAAGCCGTTTTTTCTGCCTTGTGCACAGTTCGCTTTACGTGCTCAGCGAAACTTAGCATTCTGTCAAGCCACACTCCCAAGTATTTGACAGCATCACTCAGGCCAATCTCACTACCCATAACATCGAAAACAACGTGGCCTATCTTCCGTTTTGTGGTTAGCAACACTGCTTTGGTTTTCTCCGGCGCTAGGGCCAACCGTCTCTGCTCGAGCCATCGTGCAACTCTCTGTAGCGCCGTGTTTGCGTTGCACATCAGGAGCTCCTCGTTCTTTGCTACCACAATCATGCCGATGTCGTCGGCGAACGCTATTAGTGTTACTCCGTTTGGCATTTCCACCGCAAAAAGCCCATCATAGAGCACGTTCCACAGCGTGGGTCCAAGGACCGAGCCCTGTGGTACTCCGCTTGTTATGCCGATCCCCTTAGCTTGTCCCCGTGCTTCCAGTAGGATCGCCCTGTCAGAGAGGTATGACGCTATTAAGTTTATTAGGCCTTCGTCCATTTGGCGCTCTCTTAATTCCTCCAGGATTAATTGCCACGAGGCATTATTAAAGGCATTTCGGACATCGAGAGATATTATAACCGCCAGTCTGCGATTTGCGTGCGCGAAATTTGAAGCCTTGTTGGAGATTCCATTAACCCTTGCTATGGCATCAACTGTTTGTCTTCCGCTCCTGAAGGCATACTGCCTAGCCGACAGACCACCAGTACGCTCAATTTCCCTGTGCAGGCGTGCGACCACCAGTTGCTCGTAAAGTTTTCCCTCTGCATCCAGCAGGCAGATTGGTCTATAGGACGATGGGTTCTCCACCGTGTGGTCGCCTTTCCTCAGGATCATCCTAGCTGCCTTCCACTCCGCTGGAAAGCAGCTTTCTTCTGCTAGTTCATTATAGGTGGCCAATGCATATTCAGGCTTTGTCGCCACCAGCTCCTTAAATATTTCGGCAGGGACCCCCCCAGGGTCTGCCGCTTTCTTGTTCTTAAGTTTCGGTAAAATTATATTTATTTGCCCAACCTTTTACTCGGATCTTTTCTCGGCTTTTGTCGATCCAAATACGACAATAAGAAAAACACTTGCTCGAGAACAACGAAAAATGCGGGGAAAGTCTTGCAATCACCGATTACACAATTAATTTCCGAAAACCAATATCCGACTCGTATGTACCAAATTTTGTATCGATGCGGAAAGTAAATCCTACCTTGCTTCTTTAATTGCAAGTGACTAGGTGCCGTTCTCGTTCCTTTTTGTCGATTGTTTTTTCAAGAAAAGGAAAGTCCCACAGTGTAGTAAAAAATAGCCTGGATGAATCAGGCTAGAGGTTAGGCAAATTTATAAAAATAAAAAAAAACTAATTGATACGCACAATTTACCCGAAAAATACTTCTCTACTAATATAAGATCGAACAATATGTCTAGAGACATTTCATCAATTTTTTATATAACACGCGTTTGAAAACATCACAAACTTTAAAATTTCAACACTTCTTTATATGCAGCCGAGGATGAAAAGAGAGAGAGAGAGAGAGAGAGAGAGAGAGAGAGAGAGAGAGAGAGAGAGAATTCAGGAATGCAGATATTTTTGTGCAATGGTACTTTTATATATGCCTCTCTAAATGAGT